CCCCCTTGTGAGTGTCCCCTTCACTCAGGGCCACCTCTGCTCTTTCCTGCAGCCGCTGCTGGCATTGTGGCGAGTCCTTACTGGGCAGGATCCCTTTCCATTATCTCGACTTCTCCTTCTGCTCCACAACCTGCCTGCAAACACACCGCCGGGCCCGGGCCAGCCACACGTAAGGCTGGGGACTGCTGCCACTTGCCAAGGACCGATGCGGTGGAGACACGGCTGAGCGCTGGGTGTGCAGCGCGGGAAAGCCTGTGGAGCAGTGCTTGTTGGAGGGACCCAGCTGGTCATGTCATTCTTCAGGGCAACTCTGACAAGGCTCAAGGCAAGAATGTCACTCTGGTGGTGACTCTGGGGACATTACGATCAGGAGGTCCCTACATACTAGTATGAAGGACCAGGACTGCGCCATGGCCCAGCTGCAGCGTGATGTGGGGTATCTTGCTGCCTGCTTTTCTCATGGCTACCTCGTAGGCTGCTGCCCGTGGCAGTGGGACAGATCCTTACCTATCCAGACCCTGCAGCCCTGAGGTACCTGCAGCTGTGCCTCTGGGCACCCTTTGGGCTGTGCTTTGCCCTCTCCTCTCCTGGCTGCCATCACTGTTTCAGCCGTATCACATTATCAACTACCTCCTCTGTCTGCATCATCAATAAAGAGGTGCCTTGACCCCCCGAGGTGTGGGGGGTGTCAGCAGGAGCACTGGAACTATTTGGGATTAACGTGCAAAACAAGCTCAACTCTGAGCCCCTTTCTCTTAACACAGACCCTGCCTGGCCCCGGGGGAGGGAAGGAGCTCCAGCTGTCCGTGCCAGGACACGTGCCCTGTACTTGGGGCCCTGCAGCCCCTGTGCTTCACCAGACCCCTGCCCCCCCCCCAGCGAGAAGCAACGCCAATTCCCCCTAGCCCTGCATTTATTCTGTGGCCGCGAGGGTCCTGTTGAAAAGGGGTCGGTCGAGAAAAAGCAGAAAGGGGGCAGGGGGTGCCCCCTCCAGCTCCAGCACTGTGATGTTGTTGGGGCGGCCAACGTGCAGCACCGAGCCGGGCACAAAGAGGGTCTGCTGGGGCCCACGAGGGGGCCAGTACCGGCCCAGGTTGAAGCCGTTTATCCACAGCTGGCCCTGGAAGTTGGAGATGGGATTGAGCTCTGCCCCTCTCCACCCTCACCCTGTCTCCTGGCTACACACCGCCTTACCTTGGTCCAACCTGGGAACTTCACGAAGGTGTCCCAAGCGATGCCAGGGGTCTCAAAGGTCCCAGTGTAGAAGGCTGGCCCTGCTCTGCTCCTGCTGCTTGATTTCGGCAGGGCAGCGTGGGGCCAGCCCTGCTGGATGGCAGTGTCTATGGCCAGGGGGTAGATGAGCCAGTTGCTGAGAGGGCTGGAGTCCAAGGAGAGGTTCCTCAGCAAGCCCTGAGATGGAGCAGGAGGGAAAAAGAGATAGCAGGGGGATGCTTAGCTTCCCCAGGGCACATCACCCTCCCAGCAGTAGAGGTGGGATGGGATCCCCTCTGAGGGGCTGCCCTCTCCCAGCTGCCAGGGCAGCGCAACTGGGAGAGAGTGGCACCCATCTCACAGCCTTATCCTGCTCCTGCCAGGTGTGCCAGGGGACAGTGTGAGATTGATCAGGGAGCAAGTCTGGGGGTGGCCCCACCGCAGCTGGGGTCTGTTGTGGGTGGCAGAAGGGGTGTTTGTCCAGTCCATCCCCTCTGGGGCCCTCTCCTCTCACCTTGAAGTCACTGATGTTGGCGCCGAAGCTGATCCTGCCCATGTTCTCCAGGAGCACGTCCAGAGTGTCTCCTTCCCTGCCCGTCACACGCAGCGTTGTCTGCCCGTCCCGCTCCAGTGTCCCCTGGTACTCCTGCAGCCACAGGGACAGATCCCCCTGTCCGGAACGCTGCCGGCAGCCTGCCAGCATAGCGTCCCCCAGCCTGCCCCACCACAGCCCACCCCTCTGCCCCCCAAAGGGGGCAAATTTGGCACACAGGTCTGCTCCACAAGGGCTCA